TTTCACCTCCCCCACCCCTTTCTCCTCCAAGCTGGGTGCCTCCTGCCCTGCTGGGTGAGGAGGGTGGGGATTGCAGCCGAGAACACCGCGTCCTCTCTGGCTCCCGCTGGGGCGGCTCCTCCGGCCCTTTTGTTACATAACCTATCACGCACGTTACCAGCTCAGATGCCACCCCGCCACGACGCTAGAGGTCAAAACGAAACTCAGTTTTTCCTGACTTTTTTTGTCCAGGCTTCTTGGGCCCGGCGTCCTGAATTATCTGATTCCAAGCACGGGGAACAGAATGGGGTAGGTCCCTGATCTCCTAGGTTATAGCTTTGTCCAGCTTCAGTGCCTTCATTTGTCCCCTAGAGAAGATTCGAAAGACTTTGAAGGAGGGGAGGGAGGCAAGTCCAGAGTTTAGAGAGTCTCAGAAATAACTGAGACGTTACTGTTGTCGTTGCGGCTTGCATTTTGAGAGTACAATGGAGAGGAGAGCAGGGCCAAGGATTGTGAGCTGGTTAAAGATAGTACGCCGCAGAGACCGCAAGGGGGCAGCCCAATTCTGATTAGGGTCCCGAGGGTAGCGATTTAAAAAAAAATTTTAAGTGAGTTTGTCCCTGCCATAATTACCAACTGCAAAAGGCACATTGTTGGACAGAGGTGTGGGTGGGGGTGGGTAGGTGTGAATATTTTAAATCTATTCTAAGTAGTTTTTGATATTTTACCTTATGTTTTAACAATGTGCTTATTCTTACAAAAAGAAAGATTCTAAAACCTCAACCCCGTTTCCCCAAGCACACTGTTTCAACACCATATTTAATAAAATAAAAGAAGAGAATTACCAATATGGACTGCGAATAAACCTGTTGTCTGTGGGTGCCCTTCTCCAGTCTTCTCCAAACTGCAGATTTTTTCAGTCCATAATGCCCTCTAATTCAGTTGTCACCCAACTCCCCTTCCAATCTACACTTGCTGCCTCTAAATCCTGGTGCTCTCTTTATTGTGACTTTAGAACAGACTCATGAAGGAGTAGATGGTAACCAGATTATTTCACTTATTTATTTTATCTTCCAATTTCCTCTTGCCAAACTCCCATCCAAAGAGTCATAGCAGCCTTCTCCCACCTAAAAAAGCAGAGAAAGAAAGAAAGAAAAGAAAAAGAAAGAAAGAAAGAAAGAGAAAGAAAGAAAGAAAAAATAAAAGAGTCAGGAGACCTGAGAAACCCCTTCATGCCCCCCACACTCTACGGAAACTCCCCAGATATTCTGAGCTGGGATTGCTCTGTGATAGCTCCTGGGAAGGATGTGTGTGTACCCCTCTTCTCCACAGTCCTTTCACCTCCTGCTGAATCTCTTTATGCTCGATGGTTATTTAGCATCTCAATTTAAAAATGCTTTTCCTATAATACAATTTTCCCTTCTCTCCCCCTGCCCTGCCATACATCAGAGAACCGCCACCCCTTCTGCCTCTGAACTTTGCCTCTTGACTCTACCAGGTTGTAGGACCCACCCACTTTGCCCTCTGGCATTCGCCATGACTTGAATCATGGCCAGACTGGAACTAGCTTTGATTGTTCCAGACATTTTGGAAGCCTGGAAAGGTATTCCCCCAACCCCTTCATCTACTTGCCTCTGCTCTAGGAGATCCTGAAGGTCTCTTAGTTCAGAAAAACTAATGACTCATCACAAAAGTCTGTCTCAGCATCTCCTAAATTTCTTTAAGACCGAATAAGAAGATTTTTGTAAATGTGATCCCTCTTCTTTCATTTTACTTGTTATTTTTTGAGACAGAGTCTCATTCTGTTGCCCAGTGGCAACAGTACAGTGGCCAGATCATGGCTCACTGCAGCCTCCGCTTGATGGGCTTAAGGAATCCTTCTAGCTGCTCCTCCCCAGTAGCTGGGACTGCAGGCCTGTGCTACCACATCCAACTAATTTTTATTTTTATTATTTTTTTAATGTCTTGTAGAGGAGTTAATTATTTATTTATTTTTAATTTTTTTGTAGAGATAAGGTCTGTTGCTCAGCCTGGTCTCAAACTATGTTGCTCAACCTGGTCTGGAATTCCTGAACTCAAGCGATCCTCCCACCTCAGCATCCCAAAGTGTTGGGATTACAGGGATGAGCTACCATGCCTGAATCTCTTCCTTCAGTGGCTGATAATTGACCAGGCTGGAAACACTAGCCAGAGATACTGGTAAGAATTACTTCAGTTTAGTGTGGGAAGTTAAAAAATATTATTTCACAGACTCCCCCAAAGCCAGTGGCTGCACTCTTACCTTCTACATGAAATACATCCCCGCCTGAACAAAGGCACACGACAGGAGGAGGGGAATAGGACTCCGCAAACTGGACACAGCATCATTCAGATCTGGACTCTGCTAAAATACAGACATCCCCACACAGTAGGCTCGTGTCATTCCTCCTACCACTTCTCCGTCCCCCTCCAGAAGGACTGCCACCTCTTTACAACAACCTCTGTCTTCCTTTCCTTTGGGCTTAGAGAAAGATCCATCCTTCCCTATCACTGTAAGGAGTCCTTTCTTCTGTGCCTTTCAGCTATCCCTGACCATACTAGGGAGGCCAATTCAATTCAATTATTTCTATTTTGTATCTATTATATGCATGATACTATGCTAGTCACTGTGCTAGGTGCTACAGAGAGGGATATAAATATGAATAAGACAAGATTCTTGTCCTCAAGGAATTTACAATCTAAAGAGAGTCTACTATATACTTTATTTATTTATTTATTTATTTATTTATTTATTTATTTATTATTTTTTGAGACATAGTCTTGCTCCGTCGCCAGGCTGGAATGCAGTGGTGCGATCTCTGTAACCTCCACCTCCAGGGTTCAAGCAATTCTCCTGCCTCAGCCTCCCAAGTAGCTGGGATTACAGGCGCCTGCTACCATGCCTGGCTAATTTTTGTATTTTTAATAGAGACGGGGTTTTGCCATGTTGGCCAGGCTGGTCTCAAACTCCTGACCTCAGGTGATCCGCCCACCTCAGCCTCCCAAAGTGCTGGGATTACAGGCGTGAGTCACCGTGCCCAGCCTACTATATGCTTCAAAAAGAATTAACTGCCCTTATTGTCAATCTTTCACTTCCATTCTTACTGGCTTCTTTGATCTGTGCTCAACTATGTGCAGACTGCTCTTTGGTCCTATTCCGCTTTCCAGCTGTTGCTTCTCTTTTTCATTACCAGATTTTTTTGATGGTTGGTCTGTACTCACCTTCCTTTCCTCATAATGTACTCCCTCTTTAACTCCACAAAAATCTAGATTTTCTGCAAGCACTCAATTAAAACTATTTTCTTGAGAGTTACCAGTGACCTCTTCCTCCTTGGCCTCTTGGTAACTTTTGATGGATTATATTAAACTTTCTCTTTTAGAATCTAAAATACAAACTTGGCTATCTGCCTACTTCTGCAGTCAAATCCTTCTCCATTCCATTCATTAATTTCTCTTCCTCCCACTCACTACAGGCACAGTCACTGGCCTTCTGAGCTTGTGTGTACTGGCTTTGTTGAGCTCATTTACTTTCATAACTGTGACTTTGCACTTAGAACTCTAGCCCTGATCTAGTTCAGTGACCTTTAGGACACCCTTATAGAGCTGTTACCATAAACTCAGCTTGGCCATTACCAAATTAATAACGTCTGTCCTAAACCACTCTGGCCTCCCATAGTTCCCACTTTGGTCAACCATTTTCCCAGATATCCATGTGTAAAACCCATGAGTTATTTTAACTCTCTCCTCATTTATACCTAATATAAAATTATCACTCAAGCAAGGTATTTTCTTCATATTTATTTTTCTCCTCTCCATTCATAATCCCAGAATACAGATTGTTTCTGGAACAACGCAAATCTCATGAGTTGCTCTCCACTAAATTATTTATATCCTGCATACAACCTGATGAGTGGTTTATCTTTTATCTTTTTTTTTTTTTTTTGAGACGGAGTTTCACTCTTGTTGCCCAGGCTGGAGTGCAGTGGTGCGATCTTGGCTCACTGTTGCAACCTCCGCCTCCCAGGTTCAAGCAATTCTCCTGCCTCAGCCTCCCAAGTAGCTGGGATGACAGGCATGCACCACCACACCCAGCTAATTCTGTATTTTTACTAGAGATGGGGTTTCTCCATGTTGGTCAGGCTGGTCTTGAACTCCCGACTTAAGGTGATCAGCTTGCCTCAGCCTCCAAAAGTGCTTGGATTACAGTTGTTAGCCACCACACCTGGCCAGGTTTTCTAAAATATCACTTTTCATCGTGTTTTTACTATAATGAAGAACTTACTAGGCTCCTTGTTGATTATGAGTCCAGACTTCAGCCTGACACTTGAGACTCTCTGAAATTTGACCCTATGTTGCCACATGTGAAATTACCAAGCAAATATTAGGAGCCTTGTAAATTTTTTATTTTTCTTAATTCTCACTGTTCCCTTCCATATACCCTCTCCTT